TAGTTAACTGATTTGATTTATGATCGGCATAAGGATTTGGGTATCAAATCTTTGCTTGATTATGCCGAGCACTAATTTGTACAGATATCCATTGTATTTAAGGCATGTGTATATACATGTTTGTTGTCATGTTCTGATTTGGAAGATAAACAATGTCGACTTGTTTGGTATATATGATGTCGATCATTTGAAGATGTAAACTGAAACATCCACTTTTTACAAAAATTTCCTCAAAAAAAGTAGTGGGCCAATGAGAGTATGTGAGGTTCTTCTTGTAAGTTTTACAGTTGTATAATCCAACTTCTCTATTTCTACCAACTTAGAAGTGCATATTGGCTACTTCTACAGACTTGTTTCCAGAATAACCCTTCTGGTTTAGATGCCGAATACCTTAAGAAGTCTATTAAAGAAGAAAAAACTTGACTTCAAAGTAAACTGTCTGTTCTTTTGATGCCCGCTCCTCAGTGTATCACACTTAGATGCTTAGACTTTATCGACAACAAGCAGCTCCTACTTATAAGACCAAGTTTAGTATCTACTTGTTGCTTTTCTATGCATTTTGCTGTAGTTTGGTTTTTGTTGTTGTTGACCAGAGAATCATTGGAAAGAGTTGGATGAAAATTTTGTTTTTGTAAAATATCCAATTCTAATTGACTGATATTATATAATCTTTATAAACAATTAATATTATCTAAACTTTAAATAATTATATCTTGTAAGTTTTAATTATAATTTAATAATTTTGTTATTGTTAAAATTAGCAAAATCTACTCAAATTTTATTTAGAAACATAAAACCATTTTCTTAATAAAATTTTGTTTATTTTAAAAAATAAAACAAAGTTCTATTGATTTTATATATAATTTAGAAATAGTACTCTCTACCTTTAAATTCAGATCATTAGATCTTGTAATATTAGCAAAATTCTAATTATGATGTTGTTATGTATAGAAATTTCTATGCAGAACAGTTTTTGAGAATATTTTAAGATGTAGTAATCAGAATTTAACAATTTTATATTATCCAAATTAGTAATTTGAATTGTTAGTCAAAAATCAATTAGTTGACAAAATTTTAACTTATCAATTTAGAAAAAATTTAAAATAACTAATCAATTTAATTATCAACTTGTTCAATTCCAAAATAGTCTGTCAGTCAGGCTAATCTTTTAGATTTCTTTAGTGTGATTGGTTAATTAGTAAATAAGTCACATGATATAAAAATTTTTGATTAGTTGAAACTATAGTTGGCAACTAATCAACTGGCAAAATTTTTATCAACTAGGAATACTAATTCGGACTGTCTTATCAATAATTCAAGAAATCATCAAACTTATATAAAAATTGATTAAATAATAATAACTCGTGATTTTGTAAACAAAATTAAACGATTTTGGTACTATTTGATTTGTTTGATGAGACGATTCGGATGATATCAAAATCGTTATATTCTGATTGCTGGATCACGAGATATTATAAATTATATAAAAGTTAAACTTGACAAATTTGTACCCAATTTATTTTTTGATACTCAAAAATTTTTTAATAATTATTAAAAGTTTTTTATAATATTAAATTTTTTTAATAATATTAAATTCTTTATATTAATAATATTAAAATTTTTTTAATAATATTAAAAGTTTTTTTAATAAAATATTATAAATAACACACATAGAAAATAATATATCATTAATAAAATTTTGGTTTATTGAAAAAATTTTAGATATTCTTCAAAATTGCAGGCAAATTTGCCTGCAAAATGAATTAAAAGGGATAAAATAATCAAAATTTCAACTTTGGCTACCATAATTACTGAAGCTAACTACTCATCCAAGAATGACTTTGGCACAACGTGTGATTGATTCGTTTTCGGAATCGCGATAACGTCACCTGCGAGTTTATCATCTTCAATGATTGCTATATAAGCATTTATCACTTCATCAATGGAAACAAATCCAAATTTCTCGATTGTTTGCTTAGTTATAGGCGTTTCCTTGATCATGTTTTGCACCAAACGAGTATCTAATAAGTAATTTAATTAAATTTGATTTTAATAGTTAAAGATAACAAATAGATAATTATTTTATTTAACTTACTGACAAATCCGGAAGCAACAGCATTTACGCGAATTTTATCAGTATCATTTAGTTCACGTAACGCCTGTGTAAAACCAATGACCTAGAAAATGTTATTAAATAAAATATTGATCAATGACATAAATAATTTGGTTGCAAATTCGTGTAGTTTAAAAGTTTACAAGCATACACCAAATTTTGAGGCACTGTATATTGGACATAACTCCCACGGGTAAAACCCTGCATATGAAGCTACAAATAAAATAAGACTTAATTAGATATCGCACCATACAATGTGATTATATATCGATCTACCAATATCTGCAGTATAAAGGTTGTCTTCTTTTTAAAGAAATTAATAATATCTAAAAATTGTGCTTATAAAACAACTTTAAGATTCCAATAAAAAAATTGCGAAATTTTACTATATACAATGACCTACTCTAATATTACGTGAATTGGTCTTTTAGTTGTCAATAGTGTCACACCCATATATAGGACAGATTACTCTGGTTGAGTGAACTTGCCGCATAT